GCTCAGCGGCATAAGCACCTGCCTTGCAAGCATGTGGTTGTGAGTTCGATACCTGGTGCCGATAAAAAAAAAAAAAAAAAAAGAAAAAAAGAAAAGAAACTAGATCTAAAAGAAGGGGAAAATGTAATAGAAACCATCCTCCACCAGCCAGTATACTTCAGTGTTTTAGTTGTCCAGGTACTGGTTCCTGTTCCAGACCCAGTTGCTTTTGTTTCTTGGAAATAAGCTGGTCACTGTGATGTATAGCTGATCGCTATGATGCACACTATATAAACTAATCCTTGATCAATAAGCCATCCTGCCTCTGTACTTCTTGCTTATTTATCCAATATAGATCATCAAAGATCAGGATTTGATATTCTGGAAATGATCCCAGACAATGCCTGTTGACATAAATTCATCTGCCTATAAATCCTGGGTATTGTTTCAGTGTGTCTGCTTGCCATTGCAGTTTGATGGGCATTAGTTGAAAATAGATGAAAACAGTTTTGGAAATGAATGATGATGATGGTAGCACAACAATGCAAATGTACTTAATGCTACAGAACTACGCACTTAACAATGCTTACAATGGCAAATTGTGTTTCACCACCAGATAATCTAACATAATAGTAGTTGCCATAGTGCCTCTTTCCTTGAATTATTTGAGTGTAACTTCGTATGCTTCATGAAGCTGTGATATTTTTATACAATGGAATACTACTCAGCTATAAAGAATGATCACATTGAGACATTTATAAATAAATGGATACAGCTTGAGACCATAAGTGAAATAAATCAAACTCGCATGTATAAATACTGAATAATTTCCCTAGTGTAAGAAATTATAAGAATACATAAAAGTATGTGGTAATCATGATTCCCAGTCATATTGGTTTGAAGCCATATAATGTTTTCACTCATTAATTGCAATGATGTTAACCTGGGTTGTTCGATTTTAGTATCTGTGATAGTACGAATAGCTATTTTGAAGAAAACAACACTACATAAAAGCTAGTGCTGATTTAATATCATCTTGTTTTGAAGTCCCATCAAGCTGTGGTACATCTGTTTCCACTGGTTTTAACATGTTGTATCTTACTATATTTCACTATATGCTATAGTATAAACAAAATTTTTTATAGGCAAAGAGATAATATAGAAACCGTTGTTCGTTTTCTTTTAGCTGGTTCTAAATACCCTGTGATTCTTTCATTCTCTTGAATGGCTTCACACTGCCTTGATATGCTTGATGCTATAGCATACGAAGTTACACTCAAATAATTCAAGGAAAGAGGCACTATGGTGACTACTATTATGTTAGATTATCTAGTGGTGAAACATAATGATGCTTAAATTGTTCAGTTCTGACCTGCGTTGTTCTGTTACAATGTCCTCTTTTATCTCAATCTCCCCTCCTTTTTTAAATTAATCTATTTTCTCTCATTTTTTTTAATTAAGGGAAAACTAAATTAAAAAATAGCGGGACATATTATAGTAACTTTTTTGTTTTCCTATTCACCTGATTTGAACCCCAGTATTGCTCTCCCCATCTTGTTCTGTCTGATTATTCTATATTCTATTTTGTTTGATAGTATCAAGCTTGAGGGTATAGGCAACCACTTTGAAGGCAATAAGATATACTATGATGCCCATTATGGTTTGACTATTATCTTTTTTTGAAGTCCTGTAAGGTCTCCACTGTAGGTTTTATTGGTCTTGTTCTGTACTGTTTTGATCAATTCTGTAATACCTGATGATATAGGCAACTCAATTTAAAAATAGCAAGAGGCACAATGGTAACCACTTTTGATCACCTGGTATTCTATTTTTGCATCACGTACTATGCCCACCTTTCTGTTCTAACTGACTCTGTTTTGCTTAGTCACGTTTGGTTTTATTCTCTTCAAAAAAAGTAATAAGAACTGTGGGAGTAATAAAACCCCAAAAGTGTAATTGTTATTGTAAAAGAGAGAGGAAAGGAAGGTGGACTAAGGGATATAACTGCAGGTATGTTTGAATGTGTAGGATAGAAAACCATATTACTGAGCTTTTGTTGGATCATTGAACAGAACTGTCTCCAATATCACTGTATGAATGTCCACTTTATATGCTTTAATTTTACAATTTGGACAACTGTCTCTAGGAAGACAATATGTAACCTATTAACTAGTGATTTCTTACTGTATATTTTTTTTCTAAAATTCTGTATTACTTGTACCTTTTTACTGCTTTGTTTTTTATGTCCTTTGTTTTTTCTCTTTAAATAAAAAAATTTTTATACTAAATGCCTCTTATCACAAAAGCTAGCACTGCTTAAACAGCTATGCAAAAAGGGCATGAAGGCGTTAAAATAGAGTTAGGAGATACCCAGCGAGTTTGTCTTGGTCCCTCAGTACACCACATGGCCCATACCTGCGCTCTATGGAGAAAGCTTCCCTCCATTCAAGAGTTTATTCTCAAAAGACTCTGAGGACCTCGGAGAAAACAGCAGAGATGCTTTGATGTCAGGAGACAGAGTGTGATACATCCAGAAGGAAGACAGCGGTCTCCACCTTTTCCTAAATACATGATATTTTGGCTAGCATAAGCTCCTTTTACTATTCCTGCCTCAACTCTGAAATTAAATTTCCTCCTAATTTACTTAAAAGACTATTTTTTCTATTGATTTACTTTGGGCCTTTGAAAATCAAAGCAATTATATATAAAATTTCTAAAAATAAATAAATAAAATTTCTAAAGATAAATAAAATTTCTAAAACTATTCAATTCAACCCTGTGCTTATAACAACAGCTCCGTACTGGCCTTGATTAATATAGGTTTATATTAACTCACAAAGTCAGGAAGTTCAAGGCTTCTATTTTTTTCCTTTTTCAGAATTGTTCTAGCTATTTTAGGTTCTTTGCATTTTCATATAATATTAAGAACCATCTTCTTAATGTCTATTTTTAAAAGTATTGTGGGGTGACTGGGTATGGTGGTGCGTATCTAATTCCAGCACTCACGAGGCTGAAGCAGGTGGATCAGTATGAGTTTGAGTCTAGCCTGGGCAAAATAGTCAGTTCAAGTTCAGCCTGAATTGTCTCAAGAAAAAAAAAAAGTATTCTGGGATGCTGACAAAGATCCATTTTGGAGGATCCTAACAATCCATAAATATGGAGTGTACCTCTTTATTTCTCTAGCTCTTGTTTCATTCCTTCCACCAATATTTAATAGTTTTCAGCATAGGCATTCCCCTACATTTTGCTAAATTTATTAGTAAATGGTTTATGCTCTTTGATATAAGTGAAATGGCTTTTGTATTTTATTTTCTAACTGGTTGCTGTTAGTTACAAGATACAAATAGTTTTTGTTCTTGTTGTTTGTATTTGTTTGAGCAGGGGTGTGAATTGAACCCAAGGAGCACTGAGCTACATCTCCAGTCCCTGTTTCCCACTTTTTGAAACAGTTCTCAAATTTTTGATCCTTCTGCTTCAGCCTCCTAAGTAACTGGTTACAGGTATGTGCCATTGTGCGGAGTCCATCCTTGATTTTAATATGACTTTCTTGGGGTCACAAAATTGATTTTATATTTTGACTTTGTATGTTTATAGTTTGTTAAATTATTAATTCAATTAATCTAAAAATGGAGATAACAAATATATTAGTATTTCTTCCTTTCAAATATTTATGTCTTTACTCTTCTTGTTTCATTGTCCTAGTTAGAAACTCTAGTGTGTTGCTGAGTGTAGGCATTTTGTCTTATTGAGATTTTAAGAAGAAAGCATTTGACACATTTCAACATGCAAGACATATTTCTCACAGAAGTCATATAACTGAAGTTTGCTGAAAATTTATTATTAATGGTTATTAAACTTATCAAGGGCTTTTTTTGTATCTATTGAGATGTTCAAATGGTTTTTCCTCTTTAATAATATGCTGAGTTACATTGATTTTCAAATGATAGACTAATTTCAAATTGTTAAGGTAAATATCATACCATTGAAATATATCCTCAGGCCTCTTTCTTTTTTCTTTTTCTTTTCTGGAAATGATTTATTTGGCTCATACTTTTAGTGGTTTCAGGGGTTGCTCACCAGACAGTAAATTGCTGAAAGGTCTGGCTGTGGTGGGCTGGACAGGGAAAATTGCCAGGAAGAACTCAAAGTGTCCACTGGAGGGGGGACTGGGGAGATGGGTGGCACAGTAGCACTCTATTCTCTGTTCTGCACCGTTATTGAAAGGAGGGTGTTTTATAAACTACACAGCAGTGACATCACTAGCTTGCTTTGTTCCCTTGTAAAACCAGCATTTCAAAGAATAGCTGCCTTAGCACATGGGCAGGAAAGCAGTTTCTACAGATAGCACTAGGTTTGTCCAGTTACCACTGGCCAAAATTTCAGTCTCTGTATGCTTACAGTGTCCTCTTATTTTTCCTCAGGAATCTTAGAATCTTGTATTTTTTGAAATAAATGAGCACACAAACAGCCCTCTTTTACTTGTAGCCTAAAGCATTCCGAAAGAAATAAAGAGGAAGATGTTTAAAATAGAGATGAAACTGGATCCAGAGTGTTAATCCTCTATGAAGAACTAGTGTAGGGGCTGGGGATGTAGCCCAGTGTAGGCCACTTGCTATCATGTGACAGGCCCTGAGTTCAACCCTCAGTATCCAGCCTGCCCAAATAAACACTGTGGCCTTATGATTATTTATTTATTGGTGGGATTACGTTTAATACATTTAAATCTATGGTGCAAGATTATCTTGAAGTTAAAAGTACAATGACACTAAACCACACAGATTTTTTTGTTATAAAATAAATCTTTATTTTATGGCAAAAATATATTTTATTTTATTAGTGTAAGGAGTTTTTGTTTTGTTTTTTATTCATTTTATTTTGCTTTGTTTGCTGTTTTTTGTTTTTTTGAGATATGGTCTTGCTATGTAGTCCAGGCTGGCCTTGAACTCACTATGTAGCCCATGCTGGCCTCCAACTCACTGCAATTCTCCTGCCTCAGTTTCCCAAGTGCTGAAATGACAAGCATGCGCCACCACGCCCAGCTAGCTCAAGTACGCAGTACATGATGTTCACATTCATCATATGGAGTGGCACATGTACTTAAAGACCCACTTGGAACTTAAATTTTAACTTTAAAAATCAATTAGAAACCAAATAGTTTTTTTTTTCTCTTCCAGATGGTGTCATTATTATGAAACTTCTGCTGGCCTCAGACCTGACATTGTATGGAGCAGGAGGTAAGAATTATGTTACTGGAAAAGATTATCTTGAAGTTAAAAGTGCAGTGACCAAGATCACATCTTTTATCTTTTCAGTGATAATTACATACTTGAGTTTTTTAATTGGTTGTAAAGATAAAGCAGATTGTGAGATAGTAGGTAAAGTAAAAACCTCAAAGAAGCTACGAATGCCTATATTTTAGTCCAATTGTGACACCTATTACAATAAATGCTACAAATCACAAATATTTTGTGTTGAAAGTCATATGGCTGTGATGGATTTAATTTTAATCATTTCACATAAATAGGCGTTTACATCACTGCACTCATTCTTTTAAGAAAAGTAATAGAATCCGGGGATTCAGCTCAGTGGTGTAAGCACCTACCTGGAAAGTACAAGGTCGTGAATTTGATCCCTGGTACCAAACAACACCAACAACAAAAACAATAAAAACACACCAAAAACCAAAACCACTAAACTAAAAAAAATAATAGATATATTAGGACCAATGTATGATTTGCTCACTTTTTATCTTGCCTTGCCAAGCAAAGATAATAAAAAATCTCTTGCCTATGACCATCATTATTTATAAATAAAAATGTTTAATGCTACAAAATGTTATCATCTGGAGTTTTTCAAAAGATAAAATTTTGCTTTCTAAAATCACAGAAGCGGTTGGGGATGTAGGTTAGTGGTAGAAAACTTGCCTCTGCATGTGTAAGACCCTGAGTTCAATTCCCAGCACTGCAAATAAATAAAAATAAAGCCTTATTCAATTTTCTTTATATATTTGGCATAGCATAGGCAGAGGATACTCTGTTTGTGGACCAGCAAGAGCCTATACATAGGAATATGGAATTAGAAACTGGAAAACATTTACCTTCATCTTTTTTTACTTCAAAATAGCTTTTTTGCTTCTTTGTTCAATGACTGTATGTTTGTGATATGCAAAGTCTCATAGAAGCCACCCTGAAGAACTCCCAAATTTGTAGAATATAGGCCCCAATCTTTGACCTGTTTATGTCTTGGCTGAGCCAATAAGGAACAGCATGAAATCAGATAGTCTTCTCTGCATTGAGTATTTATGTTTATTGAAGTACAAATGCCAAAGGTAGTATTTTTTAGGTCTAGCCTAATTTCTTCAAGGTCTCAACCCTTGTGTGTCTTTCCTAATAGGCAGCCAAACAGTAACATTAATTTTGATAGCGCTAGAAAACCAGATGTGGGGTTGCAAGAGGTAAAGCTAATCACAGGCCATATTGCAGTGTCCTGTGAATAAGAAGCCAGGCACATGTGGACTCATCACTCCTAAGGCCTGGCCTTTCTGGCTTCTCACTGAGATTTTTTTCTCTACCCCTCTTTGAACAAGTGGATAGGGAAGCACCACTGTTATTCATGTTTTCTCTGATTTGTGTAGCTCCAGAACTGTATTCCTAGACTATCTGAATTAGATTATAACCACACAATGATTATCTTATCACTATAAGTAGATTGCGAGTTAAATTGAGTCAGCGCTAGGATCAGTATCATTCCTCTGCCAGGAAGTTCTCTTTGGCAGAGACCATTCATGGGCATTCTATCCACTGAATTCAGCATAGAGTATGGAATTTTCTGAATTTACCTACTGGGTATATTTAGCTTCAACTCATTGCTAATTTGGCTCATGAAAAAAAAAAAAAGCTTTTGTTTTTGAAAAACCCACTAAGCAATATTTGAGAAGTTTAAAATGATAAAGTAAGGAGGAAAGTGTTTTAAAAACAAAACAAAATAATGATTTCTCATACATACATCCAAGGCAACTCTACATTATTTTCAACCTTTCCACTACAAACAAATTAACAGGCATACAGAAGCAACCTTGCAGTTCCATCATGATTTCATATTTCAGGACTCTTGGAGAGTCAATATATTGTGGTTTGCTCCCAAGTTTGTTTTTCCTGTAATCTTGTTTTATAACAAAGAAGAAGCCTGGGGATGTAGCTTAGTGGTAGAGTGTTTGCATAGAACACAATAGGACCTGGGTTTGAGCCACAGTACCACAAAAATAAATAAGAATATTGTGTGCATGGCATACTCTGAGAAAGGAAGATCATAAGTTTCCCTCCTAGGAAACTTAGTGAGGCCCTATCTAAAATTTAAGCAAATGAGAGCTTGAGATGTAGCTCAGCGCAAAGGTTCTAGAATCAATCTCCAACACCACAGGGGGAAAAATTAAAAAAAAAATTTTTTCCTTCCGAAATGCTTCTCTACAACTTATACCCTAAATAGTATGTAAGGTATCAGTTTGGTTAATTGATAACTCTCACTTGATATCCACATACACCTTAGGGTTGAAGCCCTGATAAACTAATCCAAATTAGTTAGGGAAACTACCCAGGAAATGGGCTTCCTCTCATATACTCAGTGAGATTTTGAAACACTATTGTCAGGAAATACAAGCAATTCCTGAAACTTTTCCCCCCGGGTTATCAGAGTCTAAGACAATTGATGACATTACATCGGTCGTTCATTTTAGATTTGTGAAGCCTACAAAAATCAATAGTTTTCCATTATCAGGTCCAGCTGGGTCACTAGTCTGTCAATGAGCTGTTACAATTGCTGTACAGGGGTGAGCCTGACCAGTCAATTGCTGCTGACAAGAGGAAAACATGCTGACAGCCACGGGAACAAGTCAGAACACAGATTTGCACTTCAGTCAGCCCTCCAAAGAGACTTAGAGCAAGGCCATTTTCAAGACCCAGGGCACACGCTGTGGGAGGCCTAGGGGCGGAGCCACCACCCCTGAGTTTTATAGCACAAGTGCCTAAGGGGCTAGTCCTTGTTCCAGCCAATCACCTCCTATCTATAGTCACTACCTTTGTTAGAAGGCATGTACCAACTAGGATTGTCTCTAAACAGATACACTTGAACCTCGAGCAAGATTAGGTGGAGGGAGGAATCCTACTTTTACCACCACCAAACCATATTTATAGAGTATAAAAACTGAAAGAGGAAGAAAATAGGCCAAAGGCTTTGACTCTGAACCAATACAGCTATATATGCTATATCAGTATTGACTGAGGACAGAGGGTCTTATGGTGTTGATACACAGGCTATACACTTATTGCCTCATTTCCTTTAGTCTAATGCAGTGGGCAGCAGGGGAATCTAAGGTCTAGTCTTGCCCTGTCCATGTAGGAGGTGAGTATAGATAGAATGGTCAACCTGGATAAGTATTTCAGAGGCCACACATAACAAAATGGAGACATGCTTGTCTTGCCGCTATGTGACAAAGTTGTTAGGGGATTCAAAATAGAATCATTTGAATGTGAGCATGCACACACACATGTGGTGCTCTCTGGAAGCTGTCTATACAGCAAGGAGTTTGGAAGCAACTGGAAAAAGTCCTGCAGATTTAGTTTTGGTACAGACTGAATGTTGTCCTTCATTACTTGGGTACATAAATGATCTTTGAAGATCACCATGAGTGGAACCCAAATTTCGAGGACAGTTTAGAAATCTCAGTGGGTTTTATGGCTGCCCTTAGCTCACTGAGAAGATGTCAGCAGAGGACATCTGAGTTCCTACATGCTCAGGAGCTTTCCAAGTATCATGACTTCTTACAGTGCTTTGGGTCTCCTCACGTTGGTTTGATTTCAGGCATCAAACTTAAGAACTCAAAAGACAAATATTTTGAATTTGTTTCAATATTTTGATTTTTAATATTCTACTTTTAACATTTTTCAAGTGTTAAATTATAGCCGTGCCTCCAGTCTTCAGTTAGAATCATTTGGAAGTCAACATCCACTTTTTGTTCCTTAATCAAAGCTGATAAGCTACTGTGTTACTAGAAGCCAACTAGTTTTTTTCAATATATACCACAAAAAATCGTTCTTTAAATAAGGAAAAAAAGTAGTTTTAACAAGAGCAAATTTGCTAGTAATTAGATGAACCAGTTTTATGTCTTCCAGCGCTCGGAAGCATGGAATTCATCAGAACTCTCATAGCATTAATTAAAAAGAATTTATGTTTTTTTAATAAAATGCTTCATATTTTAGCTCCTTTATTCCTGCACCAAATGTGATTATGTGGGGGCTGAAGGGAATTCAGGTTAATATGTTGACACACTTAACAATGCTGGGTCATGTTGCACAATACGCTTCACTGGTTTGGTTCAGTACACCCCCTGACAGGGCCTAATCATCCCCTGCCCTAAAGGCAGAGGGAAAGAGAGGATTTTAATTACTGCTCTGTATGCAAGTTTGCCAGCATTAAATTGAGACATAATTAGGCCTCTGAATTTTAATAATTGTCCTAGCTAATTGGGCAGACAAGTACGTTATGCAGCATGCCATGATTAGATAATTAGTATTTCCAAATGACAAAATTGGGCTCTTGATTACAAATTCTACATGAAGGGGGAAAAGGTAGCAAGCAGATCTTTACAAGTCTATTAAGGGAAGTTTAGCGATGTTGGTAATTTAAAGTCCATTAGGAAGCGAGGTTTCATTCTCAGAGCTGGGTGTCTGAGACAAGGGCCTCTGGCCTACTTGGGCTCCATTTAAGCCTTCTCCCCAGGGTGTTGTGCTTTTTCTGGGCTCTGCAGCATGTGTCTCCCCATGTTTTCCCCTAAGTTTAGCAGCTATCACTATCCTTGGGTAACATACTCTTTGGCTGGATTACAGGTGGTATCTCTGAAAAAGAACTCATAGAATGTGAAAGGTAGAAAGAAATAGAAAGTAATCTACCCATGTCAGGGTTCTGGGTGTCCCCAGTGACTTTTTCTTGCAAACAGCTGTTCTTTTCATCTTCTCTCAGAATTCATCATTCTCATTTTGTCAATAACTCCACTAAAATCTTTTTGGTGCAAAAAGGACTAAACCAAAATCTTAAATTTGAGATATTATGTTATTGATGTGAAGAGTATAACTACTGGACTCTGCCTTGCATTTGAGGTCATCACTTACTAGGTGTGTAACCTTAGATAAATTGCTCAATTTCACTAAGCCTCAGGGTTTCCTCATTGGCAAAATAAAGAACTTCCCCCGTTAAATCTGTTGAGAAGATTAAATAAAATAATGAAGATAATTTACAGCACAGTGCCTGGCAAGGAGTCAGTGCTCAACAAATATTAGCTATGAATTAAATACAAATTAAACCAACAACACTGAAAGGTATATTGTGAAGGTACTGGATCTGGCTGGATCTTTGTCATGACAGTTCTCAGATGAAACAAGGGTTCTCTTTGCATTCTGAGGGAGAAACATGGTAGCCTCTTTGTGCTGGGTGGGGGCAATGCAACCCTTACGCCCAACTAGATTTCCTTTCTCCTCATTCCTTTTGCCTTGGCATTGTGGACATCCTCTGCCATGCATTAGTCTCTAGGGTGGTGAAACTAAGAAGAATGTAGTATAAATTCGGCATCTTACTCCTAAACTCCTAAACTCCTAAACCTTATGACACTTAATTCAATGTCATTTATTTTTTAACCACAGAGGCGTACTTTTGACTACTAAACTTTTCTCACAATCAATACTCAGTAGCCTAAGATCTAGAGCTATGTTTTTAAACAAAAGGGACAATAATCAAATGCAAAAATAAACCTTCTAAAATGTGATTAATGGGTGGTTCATGAATGACAATCTGATGAAAGTTTGTTAGTGAAAGCTCAGAAATTTTGGAGGTATATTTTTGACCACTAAGGATGACTAAGGCAAATAACAACGTCTATAGGTTTGTCTGGTCAAGGCAGCCTATCAGGCTAAATAAGCATTTCTTAGAACTTTTGTACTATCTCATTTTTTTTGCCATCTCATTTTTGAATGGGGCAGAATTTTAGTGGAATTCGATGGACTCCAACTGAGAATATTCTACATAGGGGAACGTTTTATTACTCTGACTTAATGTCTAGAGTACATCTTCACCTGAGGAATAGAGAGAAAGCCCTCAGGAAGAATCAAGATTAAGTGTAGAATGCAAACATTCTATTATACATTTAGACAAAAGAGTAAAAGATCATTGTTAGAGGTAGGAAATAAGACAGAGGAGTGAGTGAACCATATGCTCACCTTGTATTTACACAGTAAGGAAATTTCTCCTCTTGGAGTCTCCCAGTAGTTCTCAAGGCTGCTATTCCTGGAGACCTCGCTGCACTCCCCAGTTACAAAGAAGCAACAACATTGGGTGGGGAGGACAACTGTCAAAAGGACTTTTTCCTGCCACACAATGCTGAAGCCTGTCTCCCACTTTTTTGAAGAAGTGCGTTTATGACTGATCATTCAACACCTTGTTGGTTCTGATTGCAGAAAACACACCTTATAAATATATGATAACCATCCTGTAATAGAGAGTGTGACAATTTACTTCACAGTGCGTTTCAGGCTGCTAATTGATCGTTTCAGTCTGGGGACGTTTGGAATAAATTACAGCTATCAAAAGGATATCACAGCTCATTTTGGTAGAATGCTTTCCACGTCGCTTCGCGTTCATCTCCAGGAGAGAGCCGATAGCACCCAGCTAGCTGAGAGGAAGGAAGGGAGGGGCGGGCGAAAGGAGGCCAGTGGGCGGAGCAGCCGGTGAGGGCGGGATCGGAGATAGCCGCCGGGACTGGGCGGTGCCGACGAGGGGCGGGGGAAGTGGGCGGAGCCTTGAGGACGGCGGTGGAGCGTGGGCGCGGCTGCAGGACCGTGGCCGAACGGTAGAGGCCTCCCTTCCGAGGAGGTGGCTCGAACTTCTCGGGCCGGGGATCTGCTCCCCTGCTCGTCCTTCCCAGCGAGGTCCCGGCGCGGCCGGGCCCAGAGCGGCCCTTACCCACCTGCTGTCCTCCCCCTGCAGGCGGCAGCGCCTGTTTTCTGAGGTGAGAATCTCCCTCTGGCCCAGGGCCCTGCTGGGGGCGGGTTCCTCTCGCGTGTGGCTTCTCACCTTCTCAGCCGGGTGCTCAGCGGGACAGATGCGCGCCCCGGCGCTGCTCTCCGCGCTCGCTGGCGAGCTGGGGCTGGCGAGCGTGGGAGTGTCGCGGTCCTTTTGGGGACCTTGTGTGCAGTTAGGCCTCGCGGCTCGGATATCTCAGGGTCTCACGCTGCAGGCGGGGAGACTGCGTGTGGAGAGCTATGGAGTGGAATCGAGCCCTCCGCGGACCCGGGCGCGGCGCTGCAGTCTCCCAGGCGCGGGCCTGTGGGCACTTTGCACCTCTGAACCCGGAGTATGTTTCGCCAAGTCCAGGAGGTGGCTGGGCCCAGATCCCAGCCCACCCCGAATGGCCACGCCCGCTCTCCTCTCCTAGATTTTAGCTCCCTGCAGAAGTGTATGCCATTGTGTGGCGGTCATGGGGCAAACAGGAGAATCAAAGGTCTGTTTATTTCTGGATGGGTTCGAACTTGAAAAACAAATCCTGGGACCCTTTAACAGGGATCCCCTCCCCCGCCCCACAGGAACGCCAGGCAGTCTTCATTGCCCAGGTAAAGTAAAGCAAAAGAAGGAGAGGGCCATTAGCTCATACATAGCATGTCCCTCCATCCTCTGTGTTCAAAGCCGGCCATGACATGTCCTTAGTTTTTTAGTTTTCTGTGACACTAATATGTCAAACCAGTGCCAGAGTGTTTCATGCAGGCGATTTTGACAACGATCATTATACCAAGCTATTATGAAGTGTGATGTCAGTGCATGCTGGAAGGGCAGATAATACACAAACCAGGTCTTGACACACTATCTTACATGGAAACATCTGAGGCCATCAGCGAGAAGCATTTTAATTCACACACTAAAAATATTTTGTGTTTGGTTGACATCTTTCAAAATGCTGAAGGATGTAGTAACATTTATCATTTTGTAGGTATTTATCAGTGGACGCACAAAAGCCCATAGGAAGGAGAAAAGTTTTCTTTTATTTCTGTTCTATCATATAAACTGAGAAACAGAGGTGTTATATGACGTATTAAATAGCCCATGGTAAGTCAGTGAGAGTTTTGTTTATAAGACCAAACATTTTCTAAAAGTGGAAAAGTCAGATCTAAAGTCAGGTCCAAACCAAAGCAAATGCTTTATCTTTAACATTGAATAGTAGCTAGAAGCTATATTTAAATGGACAAAACACTATAGTTTTACAGTGAACTCCATGTATATTGATCCAAGATGTTTTTCTTTTCCTCTATCCATTTAATAAGTATTTATGAGTTTTTATAGATATTCCACTCCACTGAACCTGATTCCTTTAGGCATTTCACAAAAATTTATATGTATATTTTCTCCTGGCTATAGAAAACTCAAGGAATATTATTAGGAAAAAGTTAATAACTGGGACTATTTATTTTACAAATGGAAAATTTATTTGCGGATTTCAAGTGGTAAGTCAAGGAAATAAATTAGGAGTCAAAGTTTTCTCCAACTTTTATCTTATTCACAGTGCCATTTTTTTCTCCTTAAAGTTTTGTAAACCAAAGTTTAAAGGACTTACATGATTAAAGGGACTATGCTGTTTTTTTCAGTTATTTTGAAAGTGCCTTAAAGCCTTGAGTCAAAACATTTTATGTGAAATCTGTGAGATGTACCTAATGAATATAAAATTTTGCACAGTATAATCACTAAAGCCAAGATGTTAGGAGTAACTTTTTCACTAACCCTAATATTGTGCTTTGGGACTTGAAATTCTAACCAAAATGTGACTGTCTGTATTTTAAGAAACTGTGTAATGTCTGTATTTTAATAACTATGCTGAAACTTACATATATATTTTGAGGTGTTCTCACCAACTGGTCATTTTGGAAGACTGTCACTTAAAGTTTCTATTACTCAAGCCTCTTTTAGAACTCCTGCTTAGGTGGAGTTCCAGTACCCACTACTTTCAGTACCCACAGCACATCTGGTTTAAAGACAGCGGTGGCAAGTCATCTTCCTATCCAGTCAATCAGTGCCCTGAAGAAGGAGATGGGTGATAAAGTAAGGATGGTAAAATTTGAGGTCAAAAGAAGCTAAAAGTTGATTAGATGGATTTCTTGAGTTTTTTAAAAACTAGTTCTAGTCATTATGCTAACATAGTTTGAACAGAGGAAGTTCTAGCTCCTTGAATGAGTAGTTGCCAAGAAACAACTTTAAGAAAGGTGCTTATTCAGGATTTAAAAATCTCTTTTAGTGAATTGCTAATTTAACAGTCATGTACATATGTAGTACATTGGTGTGTACAATATAGATTTGTTACTTCAAAAAGTTTTATTATCAAGAATTTGGTTCATAGATTCTGGGTTTTATGAAACTTCACAGTTCTGGTATGATTCAAAATGCTGTTAAGTTCTAGAATATGGAGTTTGATGGGAAAATTCAAGATATCATGGCTAAAATTAGGATTGCTGTATGTAACTCCACTGAATCATGCTTGTATCCCTTGAAATATAAAATTATGCTCAGCCAAGAAGTCAAACTTAACTTGTATTCATTCTATCTAGTGAGCAAGGTGTTCCACCATTACAAAGAACTCAGCCACTGGACGTGGTGGTACAGGCGTGTAATCTCAGCACTGTGAGGATGACTCAAGGAGATCACTGGCAGTGCAGGGCCAGCCTAAACTACATTAAAAAAGGAAAAGAAAGAAAAAGAACTCGGCCATCCTTAGACTACAAGTGAGGTCTAGTCTATGAGCCAAGATATTTGTACTTTTCAGTAGTTGACTATGAATATAGACCTCAAAGTATATGTGAATTAGAATCCCTTTGTACTGTTGTAAGTTAATAACATGCCACCTACTCTATAAAATGCAGAATCATGAAGATCTTAACTTAGAAAATTTAAACTCTTAGGATAGTCAACACCAGAATATAGGAGGAGGTTTAGAAAGACAGTAAAGGAAAAAAAGAGTCAAGGAGAATGAGTGAGTTTTTGAATTGTTATTAGGTGAATTCATCAGAGGGATGTTTTTCAAATCACTTTCTAAAACTACCAGAAAACAATTTAAAACTTGAGGAAATAATTCAAATTCAAACCCAACTATGTGGAGAACCAACAAAAGCAGAAAAAAAAAAAAAATACAATGCAGTGAATAGAAATTTTCCTAAAGCTTCAGGTCTAATATCTTTATTATTAGAGCATTATGAGATCATTGGTGATTGGCAGGAATCCAGATCATGATGATCACTAGTGATCAGGGCCAGAGGATAAAGAAGGAAGAGCTTTAACACTTAAAACAAAATATTATAAACACTAATGCTCTTCAAGGGATGGGTCAGCAGATGAAGAAATAGCCCAATGGTCTAAAAGCGAATAATTTTTCCTCTCTTTTATCTCAGAGTTAGATCATATATGGAGATAAGTCAAATTTGAGTTAGCTACGTATGAGTCCTGGAACTTTCAGTCCTGTCTGCTTTGATGAGCATGGCTATTGCCAGAAATTAGGTGAAGTGGCCCTGTTGGGCCCTGGAGGCCAGGGCTGTATACCCAAGTAAAAGGTTAGTGAACAAGTTCAACAAACTCAATGCTTATCTTTTCTCAGGAAAAACCTCTGTATTCTGTGCATTAGGTAGACAAAACAGTTTCTGTTAGGAATAAAAGAGAAGGCCAAATACCCTTCATAAATAATGACAATTGGGAAAACAATTGACAGTGATTTTAGCCTTCCTTTTGAGATAGTCTAACAATTATTCCTATTTGTATAGACTTAAATCATTCAAATATTTTAAAATTTGATCTTAAATATTAAATGTCACATGTAGTGTTTATAGTTTTGGAAGTGTGGCAGAAGAGCTGTTAGTGTGGCTCAGGTAATTGTAAAAGAAGTCTGGTGATTATAGCTTGAATCCTATCTCTTTCAGATAGAGAAGTTTCTAGCTTTAGAGTTACTAAATGTAACTCTAAAGTTACATTTCTTTGAAACTACTCTGTGGCAATACCACCCCTAATGTGCTTGATCTCCTCTGATCTAGGAAGCTAAGCAGGGTTGGGCCTGGTTAGGACTTGGATGGGAGAGTTATGAGACTTGCATGTAGCTCTAGAATACAGAGCAAGTGGACTGTTGCCCTAAAAATTATAAAGTGTTATGGTAGAAAGAGTCCTGGACCAAGAATTTGGACTAGGTTAGGCATGTTCCAGTTATGTAACTTGAGACACATTTTAGTTTTCCTCATATTCAGTACCTATTAGATCTACTTTGTAGAGTACTGCAAGCTTAGTCTGAGATGAAGTGATCAGAGGGACTTGATTTGTTGAGGGCTGTGCATGTGCAAGATTTTGTGTACCGAAATGCAGGTTTTCTATGTTAAAGGTTGTAGCCATTGCATTGTCTAGATATTTAAACCAAAATATAAATGAATATGGAAATTACGCTTAGGAAACTGAGAGACTAGGTTTTGTATGGATACAGAGACATATGAATAGTACATTATAGTCATTATTCCTCCTTTCTGATTCATGAGAAGCACTCCATTGCCATATCAAGAGGGAATTTTTTTTTTCTCCTAAAGACTTCTCACATGTAAAGAAACATGGTAACGTCTTCAGTACTGTTAAACCCAGGTCTGCATCACTGACATTGAAGGGATAATCTCCTTTGAAGAAAACTGACCAGGCTTCTAAATTCTTGGTTCTCATACTCTCAATCCTCTTTTCTTAACAGTTTCACTAGACCATATAGCCACATTCATGACTTAGAGGAGAACAAGAAGCTGACTTGAGTTCCACATAATTGGCTTAGTTGGTCAACTATGAACATTTTTAAAAAATCTTTTCCAGTTGGGCCTGGAGATTTAGCTCAGCGTATAAGCATCTGCCTTGCAAGCAGGTGAGTTCAATCCCTGGTACCGCAAATCTTTTACAATTATGATTCTTCCTACAGCAGCAATCCATTTCTGCTACAGAGGCAGCAAGCCCCACCTC